ACGCACCCACACACCCCACACCCGCACCCCATACACACCTGCACCCCGTACGCACCCACACACCCCCATACCTGCCGCCCATGCACAAGTGCACTCCCTGCCCACAGACTGAGACCTTGGATGAGACCCCTTTGCCCCTCTCTGCCTCCTGATTCAGAAGAGGAGACTGAGCTCGGGGAGGGGTCAGGCAACTAAAAGTTGACAAGTGCCCAAGATTAACAGCTGGTGGGGAAGGCTCAGCCACAGTCAGAGGACCTAGGGTAGTTCTGGAGGACGGGGCATCTGCCTCAGTATCCCCATCCGCAACAAAGCCCTGAGGGCACCACGGGGTGAGCAGATCATGGATTCTGCAGGCCCTAGAGCAGCCAAAGGGTGGGAGGGGCTGGACAGAGGTTGGAAGTGTGGCAAGCCAAGCCCAGAGGATGCCGCCTCACACACAGCAGGTCCCACCACCCTCCTGCTTCCTGGCTCAGACAAGCACGGGCTTGCAGGGCCCCGGCTGGGGATGAACAGCTGCTGGCCCTCACGCCCCACAGTCTGCAAGTGGCCCCTGTCACTGCCGGCCTCTGTTCCCAGCCGCCTCCCCCTCCCCTGCCCAGGTTCTGCCCACATCAGCTGGGGAGCAGGGTGTGGGGGGTGGGGGCAGTGGCTGTCCCCGCCTGCACTGGGAGAGCTGGAGCTGCACCCTGAGCCACTCCCCAGGCTGACACAAGCCATGTCTGTGGGGCCTCCGGAGAGCTCGTGTCCTATCAGACACAGACGTGGCAGCCTGTTCCCCTCTGGCCCTCCTCCAGCCTCGACGTGAGATGGCTGGCACAGCAGCAGTCACTGTGTGACCACAAGGGAAGGGCCCAGGGACCAGAGAGATGCTGAGCTCAGGGAAGGCCCCAGCCCCTACTCCCTTCACCATGGCTGCTCTGTGCCCTGGCATGCAGGCTTGGGGACACCCAAAGGTGATGTACCCACAAAAGAGGGTAGAGTCCCACAGGCTGCCAGCAAGAGCAGAGGCTGCCGGAATCCCGGGAGGCCACGCACGACTTCCCTGGACAGTTCCGGCCACCACCAGGGCCCTCTAAGTCCTGCAGGTTCAGCTGGCCTGGGTGGCCCCGTATCTCTGCAGCCCAAGGGGCAGTGGGAAGAGCCCTGGCCCCTCCACCCCACTGCCATCTCCTGACCTGAAGGGAGCCTCTCAGCCTGTAGGCCACCCGTAGGCCTCTTCAAGACGTCCCCTCACTGCACACTAAGACTGAAGCCACGTGGCGGCTGCTGCCCAGTGCCCCCCTCTGCTGGGACCCCATGGACCAACAACGCCGCCCACAGGGACAGCCAGTTTCAGGGGCTCAGGGAGCGAGGGGTGCAGGAACAAGGGCCACCAGGAAGCGGGGCAGGGTGGCCGCCTCCCGCAGCTCAGCACTGCCTGTGGGCTGCACCTGACCTCCACCCAGAAACTGCTTCAGAGAGGGCTAAGAGTCCGGAAGGATGGCCGCCCACGCGTCCCCACCATGAGGGCACAGCTGTGTCATCTCGATAAAGGTTACTTTGCGCTGCTCTAACACAACGCCTGAGACTGGCTCACCTGGAAGACACGAGGCTTATTTGGCTCATGGTCCTGGGGCTGGAAAGTTTAAGACGGGCCCCAGCAGGTGGCGAGGGCTCCTCCACTCACAGTGGATACGGAGGGAGGTGTTCAGAGCTTGGATGGTGGGAGGAAGCCCGACTCCACAGCAACCTGCTCCCAGGAGCCACGCTGTTCCCGAGAGCCCAAGCTCTCCAAGGCCGTACCCTGAGGACCCGGCTGTGGGAAGTGTCTGTCAAGGGAATCCTGGCCTCTGGAGCCCCAGTGGAAGCGGGGTGCAGTACACAGCCCCACTGAGCTTGGGACTCCAGATGCTGCCTTTGCCAGCCTCCCTGTAGCCAGGGCAGCCTCCCAGAGTCAGGGGTGGGGAGCAGAGCCTGCAGGCAGCCATGGAACGGGCGCACGTGGCGGTATCCAGCACCAGGATGGCAGGTGCAGCTCTACGGACACCTGTGGAGTCTGCTTCCCAGCCAGCACGGAGGGTGCAGCCCAGGCTCTGACTCTCGTCTGAGCCCTGTTCACAGACTCTTCCTGTGAATCAGAGGCTGTGGCTTTCTCATGCTCTGTCCAGAGGAAATGGTTTTGCTCCTACTTCCACCAGGGCCCAGAAAGGACCTGAGAATGCTCACCCACGCCACGCAGAGCACCGGCCACCCTGCTCACCCGGCGTCAATGGCCTGCGAGGGTCAGCCCTGTGGTCCCATGGTGTGGGGGCCCAGGCACTGCATACTGCCCCTGGGGCCTCTTCAGAGTCACAAATGCCTCTGCCTGCAGGACGACTGAGCTTCCATCTGTGCCTGGCCTCTGGAAGGTGTGGCTTCTTCACTTTCAAGCTTCCATGGTCACAGAGCAGGGCACCCTGCAGGAGGTGCGCTGGGCACACAGGCGCACGCAACATCACTGTGGGTACGACAGTTGGGCCAGAGGACCACCACCAGCTGGCAGGCCACAGCACACTTGCGTGTGGGGAGCAGTCGGGTGCGCTTTGGCGCTCTGTGTCCTGTGATTGGGAGCTGTGTTTATGGCATTTTGCAAAGACTGATATGAACGGGCACCCAGTAAACACATCCAGTTAGAAAATGTTTTATGGACACGGAACGCTCCACTGTAACGGGCAGGCAGAAGCACTCCTTTCTCAGGCTCATCAAATGAACAGAAAACGGGGGACTCTCCTCACCCCAGCCTGGCCCTGCGCTCTCCACTGGCCCCTGCGAGGCCCCTACCACGGCCTGCCTGGGAAACACAAATGATGAGAGGAACACACAGGACTGATAAGAGAAGGAGGCCAGACACACCCACGCCTGTGCCTCCCAAGAGCGACCCCAGGACAGTGGGGCAGACAGAGGTGTCTACACTGGCAGAAACAAGGGCTGGAGTCACACGTGATATTTGGACACAGATTGCACACGGTTCTGCGGCCCGGCCATACGCCCTTCACGCATGACTCCACTCCCCTGGGTTCACGGGGCTGTGCACAGAGACTCTCTCGCTGACATGATACCACAGACAATTCATTACCTCCCCAGGGTTGCTTCCCGCATGCCAAAGGGGGAAGATCAAAGTCCTTGTCCGATGACAAAAACTCTACACATGCAAAATAAAACTAAAAAAATGAAACAAAAGAGCTGCAGGTGGTCCAGAGTTAGGTCTTGGTGGAGGCCGCAGGCTCTGGAGACTGAAGAAACTCATAGGGGTCGTGGGTGACATCTGGCTGCTCCCCAACACTCAGGCGAGAAGGGCTTCCTGCAATTTTCAGAACACAGGACTTAACATACAGGACAGACCCGCACCACACGTGGGGCTCCTGGAGCCCAATGTCTGCTTCATGACCCACCGCCAGGGCTCAGGGACCCCCGGGACACAGGGGCACCTCTCACTCCCTGCCAGGGAGGGCTGTGTGTGGAGACCCTAGAGCGAGGGGTCGGCCCTGACCCGGCACACAGCACGGATGCCGCTCCTGAAGGAGAGAAAGCTCCTCGGCCAGGAGTACCTCAGACACAGCCCAGATCCCAGGGCAGTTCCTCAAAGTCACACTGGGATATCGGGGGCCTCAGACTTTGACCCACAGCCCTCCAGAGCTTGCTCCATGCACTGTTTAGTTAACACCCTGATCGTAAGGTTAATGGGATCGAAATACTGGTCCTTTTCCAGATGGTTGTAGCTAAACTTCTGCAGCTGAAAAACTGTCAAGATTCACTCTGTCGACGGAGTGATTCAGTGTTTACACGTGAGAACAAACCCCCCACCCACCACCACCAAAACCCCTACAGGACACACGGCCAAGGAAGCCATGCTCTCTCTCCAGCAGAAACACTGGAACCAGGGTCCACAGAGGGCACAGGGGTGGACACAACTGGGGACAGAATCTGGCAGAAAGCCTGTAATCCAGCGTGCAGCCAGGCCAGCATCCCAGCTCCTGGTCCGGCTCTGCACCCTGAGGCTGGGACCTGAGGAGTCTGTGGAAACCGACTTCCACAACAGCACAGCTGCCTCTGCAGCCTCCAGCCTTTCCACAACGAAAATGCTGCCCACTACCTTGTCTAGATGTCACAATGACCGTGCTGGGGTCTCTGGGGATGCGGCGTGGGTGGGGGCGTCTCACCCAGGTGGTGCTGGTCCCTCTCGGAGGCGTTGGACAGGGAGCTGAGGTTGGACGACGGCCGAGAGCCGCCGCGCTCTGCCTGTGCTTCATGCAGGTCCTGCAGGAGCTTGGCTGTCTCATCCAAGTTCAAATGGCTGTCGTCGGGATCCAGCTCCTTCTTCACCTTCCCTGTATAAATAGGACAAGACCCGACGTCAGCTAAGCTCAGTCGGCCCATCCACCCTAAGGGCAGGAGTGCACTGCCCATCCAGATCTGACCTCTCTGCTCAGGACAATAATTGCTCTGGAAGCTGAGTGGATGAGCTCACAGCAGAAACAGAGTCCCCACTGGGGGACTGCCCAGTGCAGCTGTGAGAAAAGGGCGACTGGCCCCCAGACTCCAGAATGGTACATCTGGCAGCTTGCACCATGTCATCTGGAAAAGCTGCAAGCACTCAACACCAGCCCGGGAAAGCAGCCACAGGGGCTGTACCCTGCAGAGCCACAAGGACAGGGCTGCCCAAGGCCGTGGGAGCCCATCCCTCGCATCAGTGTGGCCTGGATGTGAGACAAGGAATCAAAGATTATTTGGGGGCCTCAAGATGTAATGACTGCCCTGCTGGGTTTCAGATTTGCAGCCTGCAGCCCCTTTGTTTTGGCTGATTTCTCCCTCTTGGGATGGGTCTATTTACCCAATGCCTGTACCCGATTTGTATCTTGGAATTAACTAACTTGGTTT